ACTTTTTTTAGTACCACCTCGGTTGGGGTTCCAAGCGAACCGTACCGTTACCAAAACGTGACGTGAAAACTCTGCTGATCACGGATTGGCCGGAGAGAATCGCCACTACCTGCGTCACTGAACTTGCGACACAAACAAAAGAACCGCTAGATTTAAATCAGCACAGCCAGCGAAGGATAGAACGCAACTGTTTTGAACGAGCGCACCTTTTTTTTAACAACCAAAAAGTGTATGTTCCCTCTGTTGAGGAAGAACAGACGTTCCTCTCGTTGATAGCAGAGGAGCGGATCCAGCGAGAGCTTGATGGGGCGACGTGGAATGAAAAAGTTTTTTAGGAGTCGCGGCAGTAGAGGCGGCGCAACTATAACGACATGTGAATAATCCCGCCCACTCTAAAGCAGTACTGAACTGCAGTGGAAACGCAAACCGAGCCAAACCGAGCCGTGCCGTGCCGTACTGAGCCGAGTCGTACCATGCAGTGGAAAAGCGCCAATATTTATAGCTTAATAAAATATATTCAAGCCAGATGTATCTACTGTTAGTATTAGTATAGGTTTACTTTTTTTTTTTTATTACAGCCTGTGATGATTAATACATTATAAAAAAACATGGCAAAAATTTAACATTTACCTTATAAAAAGAAGGTCGTCCTACTACTGTCGTCACTTGGAATACAGCATCGCACACATTCACGTTAAACGTGATTTTTCTCCAGTGAGGGGAGGAGGGGGTGGAATGTTTGATGAATTACACTACAGCACTTATATTGGCCGTGGGTCCTTAAAAAGTCTTAAAATGTCTTAAATTCAGATTCGATGGATCTTAAAATATTTTCGGTCCCATTACCGCAAAAATTTCTCCAGTCTGACAGATCTAGTGACTGTTTGCAATCATTGGACAGACAGACTTTTTTCCCCGCTGTAACTTACTGCATGCTACAGCTAGCTGACCAGCCTCCTAGCTAGTTGAAAATGGGTTAATGCAAGTTTACTGATAAAATGGCTCGAGAATTTTACTTGCCCGACCGGACAAATACCCTGATTAAAACTTAATGTGTGAAAAAACAACTAGTGAAGCATCGAAATATGAGAATTATTCTTCTGATTTTCTTACATTCAGCGTAAACAGCAATGAATAATGATAATGGATAGTGTATTTCTAGCCCCCCCGCAACATTTCTTATTTGTATATTCCAGGGTGTCCGTGGGGTCTTAAAAAGTATTAAAAGTTGATAAATAAATTTAGAGAAAATTAAGGCCCTTAAAGTATTAAAAAGTCTTAAATGCCATTTTCCAAGGTGTTACATTTTGTATCATCTTTTCATTATGTGTATTTGTCCGAATAGTGGGGTTCCGTGTAGTTTATTTATGGAATCCCGCAAGATTTGGCGTCATCTGTACGGCGCTCACCGACAGACTGTGCTGCTGCGTGATAGCGCAGGTTAGAGCCCTGCACGAGGCTTGATACTTCCCGCTCTCGCTGAATTTTTGACCATTACCACCCGAACATTATAATTTTTGCGCGTCAGGGAGCCGCTATCAATATGTGTGGTATTTAAATCGCTTTTGAATGTGTGTTCGCAGTCACGGTTCACTTTCGATTTCGTGATTGCACTGTGTAAAGCGACCACACCTTACGATATAAGATATTTGTCAATGAGCTCAGGATCTGTTGAGGAGCATATCCTCCATATCTTGTCAGTCATCTCTCCTTACTCTCGACCCGTGATCAGTCAAATCTGACTCCTGCAGCTCGTGTTGGAGGTAGGGTTGTTTTTTCCATGGAATTGGGCTGCTTTTAAACTGTTGCCATGGCTTGCTTTCCCCCATGGGTTAAAGATTTGAAATATTGCATAAATTACATTTGACTGAAATGCTTTTACTTAAACATTTTGCATTTTACCTGTAATAAAACTGTGCTAAATGTTTTGTGAATGAGGGCCACTAGTAGGAAGCCTTTGAGCAATAACATATTTTGATATTTGGGACATGGTCGATGCGCTCCTTTAGGCTGGTTTTTACTGGCATGTGTTGGAGATGCACAATTAAAAGGATGTAATAGTTGTGATCATTATTTTACCTTCCATGATCATTCAGACTTGATCAGGTGCAGTACTGACACTCTGTCAAGTCTGCATCAAATCAAGCACTCTATAATCACTGGTAAACTGTCTGACCAGTCAGGTGTTTGTCATGAGAAGTGTTCTACAAAAGAGCTATGGTTTGCAGACATTTTTAAGAGTTGATGTTACAAATACATCTTTCGAATATACTGTGTTGAACTCATTGTCCCGTTAGCTCGGAGAGCTTTATTTTCCCTCTTCAATAATTTTTGTCAGTTGTTTTGTTTATTGGTCTAATTCTTGTTTCTTGGGTTAGTCACTCAATTAATTCTCTTGTGCTTCGTTCCCACCCTTCTGAATTATGTTGTATTGATAAGGAGTTATCACAAAGTAAGTCTGTTTAGTTGTGCTATCTTACAATCAATATATAGTAAATGTAAGTTACTTGGAGTGGCGATGAGGTCTTAAAATATATGGTAAGAGTCTTAAAAAAGGTCTAAAAAGGTATTAAATTTAACTCCATGATTCCTGAAAATACCCCGTATTCAGAATTGTATTTAAAACATTAATCATTATTTATTGTAGTTGTAATTGTGCAGTGTAAATTATTAAATTTATTTGGTAACAGCCTTATAGTGTAAATTGAATCTATTGATCTGCATGAAATTTGTAAATTTGTAAGAATTTGACATGAAATATGATGCATACATTTATAAGGTTAAAAAAAATGGCCTTCATAAAGGTAAATACATCTTGAGGTTAATAAAAATATGCAGATGAATGTAAAAGCTAATAGAACAGATAAAATATTGCTTCAGAATAAATTGTTTACACCATCAGAAATCTCGGAGATGCAGTGCTTTTGTGGGGATTTTGTATGGGATATCGTCTGCTGATATGAAAAGTTTGCTGTATACCGTAATAATAAATGGCATTTTTGACAACAATATTTTTTTCTTTTTATATTTGACACATTAAATATGACATATATGTATGTAAAATAATGTGTGATTTTCCATCAGAGGTTTGGTCTTAAATTTCATATAAGATGGAATTAAAAAGTCTTACATTTAACTTGTATTCATATCTCTGAGCAGACAGTGTCAATCAATGCATTGGAGAAAAGGGTAACCATAAATGTAAAGAAAAGAAGTTGCTTGTCAGATTTTCCTAACAAGCAACCATATTTTTTTTTAAATAAGTCTAAAAAACTCGACCCAGGATTTTTTTAAACGCAGCTTAACAAAATGAAAAAGAAGCCCAAAGTTGCATATTATAAGTGGACTTGGCAGCTCTGGTGCTTGTTATAAATTTAAAAATTGCTGCTTCAAGAAGCGTTACAACAGGTTTTACGGCAGTAGAAGTGAACGCTCATTGGCTCTCACCTGCTTAACAGATGTGGCATGCTGTTAATCTGGTGAGGTGTGTTTGAATGAGAAATGTGTGCCTTCACAGAGTGGACCGGGATAATAATCTTGATAATATTTTAAGTGTTTAAGGCCCTGTCCACATGAACAGCTTTTTGGTCATTTGTCCACTCCCCAATCTAGTATCAGGTCACTAAAACTGAACCTTTTTGAAAAGTCCTGCCAGGGTGAATATTTTCAGAAACTCTAGTTGCAGTGTTGTTTTGTGTGTTGGTAGAGCATTGCATTAGCAGCGCAAAAGGTCATGGGTTCGATTCCCAGGGAACACACATACTGGTAAAATATGTATAGCCTGAATGCACTGTAAGTCACTTTGGATAAAAGCGTCTGCTAAATGCATAAATTATTATTCATTAAATTAAAAATTTATTAAATTATTATTAAAGCATTACAATAATCTAACCTTGAGGTCATGAACGCATGAATTAACATTTCTGCATTTGACATTGTGAGCATAGGTCGTAATTTAATGCGAAAAATGCAGTTTTACAAATGCTAGAAACGTGGCTTTCAAAGGAAAGATTTTTGTCAAATAGCACGCCTAGGTTCCTAACTGATGACGAAGAATTGACAGAGCAGCCATCGAGTCTTAGTGTTCTAGGTTATTATATGCAGAGTTTTTAGGTCCCCTATAATTAACACCTCTGTTTTTCCAGAATTTAGCAGTAAGAAATTACTCGTCATCCAGTTTTTTGGAAATCCTCACAAATACCATTTTTCTCTAAGAAGGAATATAATTTTAAGTATCTTGGACAGAAAAGGGAGATTCGAGATCAGTCTGTAATTAACTAGTTCTTTGGGGTCAAGTTGTGTTTTTTTGATGAGAGGCTTAATAACAGCCAGTTTGAAGGTTTTGGGGACATATCCTAATGACAATGACAAATTTATAATTGTCAGAACAGGATCTATGACTTCTGGAAGCACCTCTTTTAGGACCTTGGAGATGGAATAGGGTCTAACATACATGTTGTTGGTTTAGATGATTTAACAAGTTTATACAACTCTTCCTCTCCTATAGTAGAGAATGAGTGGAATTGTTCCTCCGGGGATCTATAGCACACTATCTGATGCGATACTTTGTGAAGATTGTGTTTTAAGTTCACTATTTTTCAAGGCCTATTAAGTGTATAATAAGGAAAACCTGTAATGTAATATCGAATGGCTGTAATTAATGGCTACAATTTCAGGGGAAATGCATTTAATAGAGGCAGATCAGTAGCAGTATTGATATCAATGATGGCCTTCATAATAATATGCTACTTGGAAAAAGGATGCCAGTAAACCACATATTTTAAATGCACAATTATTATAGTTTCTACATTAATTTGGAGATTCAATGTGAAATTATGACAATATGTATTATGTTAAAATGTAATTAATTACTTAAAATGCGCAATTAATTGGTTAATTTTATAATTGATCGACTGCACTAGTCTAAATGATTTTGACGTCTTTTGCTTTGTGCCATTAAACTGGTTTTAACTTGTATTTTTCTTATGTCACCAGACCTGATGGCACTGAAAGAGGAGAGTCAAGCACTGAATGAAACAGAAGAGAAAGACCGAAAGGAGAAACATCATGACTTCAAAACTGAAGACAAATCATTTAGTTACTCAAGTACTGAAAAGATTTTCTTACGAAATAAAGCTCAAAAAACACAAACTACAAGCCTTAATTCCCACAGGAGAATTCACACTGGAGAGAGCTCTTTCACCTGCCAACAGTGTGGACACATTTTCAATCGAAAAGGAAGCCTTACAGTCCACATGAAAATTCACATTGAAAAGAAGCCATTAATATGCCCTCAGTGTGGAAAGAGATTTACACAGAAAAAAACCCTTAATGTCCACATGAGGATTCACATTGGAGAGAGACCTTACGCCTGCAAACAGTGTGGGAAGAGTTTCACAGTAAATGGAGATCTTAAAATTCACATGAGAATTCACACCGGAGAGAGACCGTTCATATGTGTTCAGTGTGGAAAGAGTTTTAAAGAGAAAAAATCCCTTAATGTTCACATGAGGATTCACACTGGCGAGAGACCGCATGAATGTGATCAGTGTGGAAAGAGTTTCACACACAAAAAAAACCTTAATGTCCACATGAGGTTTCACATTGGAGAGAGACCTTACGCCTGCAAACAGTGTGGGAAGAGTTTCACAGTAAATGGAGATCTTAATAATCACATGAGAATTCACACCGGAGAGAGACCGTTCATATGTTTTCAATGTGGAAAGAGTTTTAAACAGAAAAAATGCCATAATGTTCACATGAGAATTCACACTGGAGAGAAGCCTTACATCTGTAATCAATGTGGAAACTGTTTCAGATATAAAGAAAACCTTAATAATCATATGAGGATTCACTCAAGAGAGAACAGTTTTAAATGTATTCAGTGTGAAAGGAGTTTCATAGACAAGAAATGTCTTAAGAATCATGTTACAATTCACTTAGGAGAAAAGCCTTTCATGTGCCATCACTGTGGAAAGAGTCTCACAAACAATGCAAACCTTGAGTCTCACTTGAGAATTCACACTGGAGAGAAACCTTTCACCTGCAAACAGTGTGGAAAGAGTTTCAGAGTTAAAGGAAACTTAGTGACTCACATGAGGGTTCACACTGGAGAGAAGCCATTCACATGTCTTCAGTGTGACACGAGTTTCACGTATAACAAAGACCTGAAACATCATTTGAAAACTCATTCTGGGAAGAAATTGCCGTTTTCCTCAGTGTGACCAGACGGTTAGAAAATGAGCAACTTCTACAATCATCTGTGCGTTCATTCTGGAAGGCAATTCAATTATGATCAGTGTAGTAACTTTTTTTTTTTTCCCTTTTCACATAGATACATGTGTGAAGTCAGGCAAATGTGAGACCCTGTTTGTGTTCTTTGTTGAAAAGTATGAGAAGAAAAATGCTGTGTGAAATCAAGGCTACGTTCACACTGCAGCTGAATGCAGGCTACATCCAACCCGATCTCATGAAAGTGCGTATAAATACCGTATTGACCCGAATATAAGACGATGGTTTTTTTTTTGGAAATACATCTGAAAAAACGCGGTCGTCTTATATTCAGGGTCTAGACTTTGACATG